AGGAGAGAGAGAGAAATTGGGGAGCAACATGGAGAGGCCCTAGAGGGGGGACTGGGGAACGTGAGGGGATGCATCCAACAGAGCCTTCAGCCGAGATTCTAACAAACACCACTTTATTGAACACGCAGGTCCCAGCACATACAGCCACAGAGAAACAGAGGGCAATGGTGCCCAGCTCTGGCCTGCAACATTCTGCTTCAGCCCGAAGACTTGGGGGGGGGGGGGGTCCGACAACACAGATGTACAAGCAGGAAGGGTGAAGCTAGGGTCTTTCCCCCATGGGTGCAAGGAAACCCCTGGTGCCTGCTACTCCAGTGCTGCCCAGGCATCTAGGAATCTTGCAGTCCCACCCTCTGCCCCTAGCTCTAGGGTAGGGAATAAGGGAGTGTAGCCAATGACAACCCCATTGCTCCTTAGCTGAGAACACTAACCGTTCCAGATCCCACACAACCCCACAATCCCATCAGCACCCTAAGGGAAGCTTGTCATCTTCCTGGAGCTGCGCTCTATTTACCCACGCAGCAGCTACTACAATAGACCTGCCAAAACCTGGCAGGTGCTCTGCCCATCTCACTCTCAGCATGGCTGAGGCATGTTCTCAAGGAGACAGCTCCAGGGCTTTTAGGGCTGCCTTTCCCCAGAGAGGAATGCAAGTCTATGGGGGGGGGGTACACGCTGGGGGATATGAACACCACAGGGTTGAAGTCTGAGGGCAACTTAGCTCATCTGCTAAGAAAGGGCAGGGGCTGTGAGCGGTACACCTAGCCCAGCTCACTGAAGCCACTCATAGGACTGCTTGTTTTAAAACATACCAAAAAAAGTCATTTTCCCCCTCCAGGCCAAAAACCTGAGGGGAAGGATTCTGGCTCTGTGCTTGAAGCTTCTGGGTGCCCCAGCAACATCTGCTTCTCAGTCTTGCTTCTGCTGCTGCTAGAAATGGCTGGAGCTGGAGGCAGGGCAGCATGGACAAGACTGTCTGTATCACCCCCAGCTCCATTGGCCTGCTGCAGGGGCTCCCCCTTCAGAGTTTAGGCCCCCTGGTTGCTCCCAGCGACGAGCCCCCACCTTTGTTATTTTAAACTTTCATTTATTTACAAAAACTGTCATGGAAAATAAAACATCAGTGGTAGGGGAACTGCAGGGTAACTGCTCACTTGAGAAATGCCACGTCTGGGATCTTCCCCTCCGTCTGAAAGAGACCAGGAACCAGTCACAGGGACTCTGGGCATTGCAACGCCCCCATCGCCCAGGGAAAGGCTGCATAGAACCCCTGCATCCTGGCTCCAAGCCCCTCACCAATTTATTAGACACCACTCCCCTCCCAGAGGCAGGGATAGTGTCGACGTAGGAGTCCTGACTCCTAGCGCAGTGCCTTCTCCACAAGACTGTCCTTTCTTGTGCCTATGAGGTGCTTTGAAGCAGAGAATGATGGAACCAGGCCCCCTGAGGAAGGCAGTCCCAGGAAAGAAGATCCTTGTGGGGATAGGGAGAGGTCAAGGCATCCAAGGTGGCTCCTGGCCCCATCCCACCCTCAATCTCTGGGCACTGAGGCCGCTGGTGGGGAATGAACATGCCCCTGGCTCCTCCCCTCCACCTCTCTGGTGCAGGATTGTGAGAGACCCCAGGCCCCTGGGATAGAGTCAGGCCCAGGCACTGGCTCACCTTGAGCTGGGTGAAAACCTGGGCTGCCTGGCTGTAGTCCCAGTCGTTGTCCTGGAGGCACCTAGGGCAGAGGGACACTGTCAGTGAGCAAGTGATAGGCCATGGGGCAGCACCAACCCTCCCCACAACCTTCCCCAACTTACTTTTGGGACCACTCGACGTTCATGCCAGACTGCATGGCGAAGGCCTGTAGCATTTCCTGCTGCTCGGCCGACAGCGTGGGCACAGGGCTGGACGAGGGCGTGGGTGCTGGCATCACGAAGGCCTTGCGGATCTCCTCTGTGTTCGCTTTGCGCACAAACAGCTGGTCGTTCACGATGCACAGCCTGGGGGTGTGTGGAGAGTGAGGCACGGGGGGATGCTCATCCATTCCCTCCCCCAGAGCCAAGGAGATACCATTGCCCCTCCCCCTGCAATCTCCCCTTCCCCCACTTACCCTGTGATGCCAGCTGGCACAGCAATGAACATGCGGGTGAAGCCTCTCACCATATCCCGGGACTTGCCATCCACTGCACACACAGAGAACAGAGCCCAGTGAGGGGGGTATGGGGAAAGGGGTCCGCCAGAGGGTATGGGGTCTTAGCAAGGAGGCGCTTGGAAATGGAGGGTAGGGGGCTTCTGGACACTCACCTTCCTTGAAGACCCCATGGACAGCAAAGCACAGCAGGGTGTTCTGCAATATGAGAGGGGATGTCACTGAACTGCCACCCCCTCACCATGCCCATGGCCCAACGGCTTCTGCCTCCCATTGCCCGACCACTCCCCTTCTGTCCCCCACGAGCACTCTCTCCCCTCACCTCACAGCGCAGCCCGCCCTGCCCCCGAGGTGGGGGCATTTTTTCCCACCTCACAGTAGAGCCCGCCATGCCCCCAAGGTGAGGGCATTTTCCCCCACCCCTCAACCCCCCTGTCACAGCACAGCCCACCCGGCCCCTGGGATAGAGGCACTCACCGTCTGTGCACAAACATCCACCACAAAGGAGTTAACGTCATGCTGAGTCTTGGGCAACTCATTGAGGAAGGCCACCACGTTCAGCCTCGTATGCTTGAGCAATTTGAAGCGCAGGGCTGGAGGGAGGAGCGGGAGGTGAGATCCCACCCAGCCTGACAACCCAGTCACAGCACCACAATCTCAAGTCTGCCCTGCACAGAAACCCAGACCTGAGTCTGCAGAGAGCCTGAGCTGATCACTGCAAGGGGGAAGTGCTGTTTTGAGTGTGATCGATGCAGCCCCGTGGCACTTACTAGGGTCCTTGAGTTTCTTCACATTCCTGCTGCCCTTGAAGTATTCACTCAGGATGCTCCTGTTGAGAAGAGATGCCCGGTGAGTAGCTGGGGGACAGTACCCTGGAGCTTCTGCCCCATCAGCCCCACAGGGAAATGCAATGGAAACCTTCCTCCTTCACCTGGCTCTTAGATTCTCCCTGATCTTCGCAAATGGGAACAGAGGCAGCCTCACCCTACTGGGCAAGGGAGAGGTGAGCCCCATTTAACAGAGTGGGGAAGGGAATTGCCTGAGGGGGCACTGAGTTGGGGTCGAGCCAGAAACAGAACCCAGCCCCCCTGCTCTAGCCAGAAGACACCACTCACCTCCAAGAGCTGGTGATAGTACCCAAGAATCCTGATTCCCAGCCCCCCACTCCCATAGACCTCACAGCCCTCCTGTGCCAGGGATAGAACTCAGGCGTTCGCGTTCTCAGCCCTATGGTCCCTAAGGAGGGCAGTGACTAACCCCTGGTGGACATACCTGGAGGGGTTCTGGGAGAGGAAAGGGATGCTGAGGGAACAGCAGGCCCCATCGTGGTAGGCATCCAGCAGCCCCTGCCTGTCGCCAGAATCATATACAGAGTAATACCTGCCAGGGAGAGAGAGTGTTAGCAAAGAGCAGCTGTGCTGCTAGGACAGTGGCTTCACTATCCCTGCCCCAGAGCTCTCCCCACACCTCAATATCCTGTGCCCCCTGCCTGTGAGACTGGAACAACGTGATCTATATGCCCCCTCCCCATCCATCCCCATCTAGCTCCCTAAATGACTCATCCTCCCACGTCAAGGTACTTACTGCTGCAGGAAGCGCAGCACCAGCACCTTCAGGTCATCCGAGCCGAAGTAGCTGCCCTGTGGGTCAGAGAATGTGCCAGTTAGTGCCCTGGCTCGGAGCCCTTTCCCCCAAACCCCTGCCCCAGGGCTTGCCCTGCTGGCAGAGCAGTTAGTGCCCTGGCTCACAGTCCATCCCCTCTCCACACCCCAAGAATGCCTTCCCCAGTCCGGCACCAGGGCCAATCCTGCTGGCAGAGTGATTAATGTCCTAAATCAAAGTCCCCCACTCCCTGGCCCCTTTACCTTGCAGGGGGGGAGGGTGGTGGGCGTTTCCACGTCAAAGACAATAGGAGGTGGGAGCTCGTGGCCGTCCTGCAGAGAGGCAAAGGTAGAGCAGTGAGCAGAGAGTGCCCCAGCAGTGGGTTCTGAACAGGACAGCCCCAGGTTAGTGCAAAACACTCACCAGGCGCAGAAGCTTCGGGAACCGCAGTCGTATGGAGCTGTCAAAAATGGGACATGAATCAGTGGGGCCAGCCAGGGCCCAGCCTGACTCCCATGGGGCCTCCTTCCCTCCCTGACCCCACCACTCTGGGCCTACCCCACATGCCCTTGGCACTGACTCTGCAGGCCACAGAACGGGGCTGCCCCTGTGCCCACCACACTCCCCCTTCCCCAATGCAGCATCCCATCTCACCCCAGCAGGGCAGGGACCCAGCGCTGAGCAGCTGGGTGGCAGGGACAGAGCAGATATCCCTCCTGCCTTAGTGAAGAATCTTGGGGCAAGAGACCAGGGCTTTACTACAGCTGCTCCCTCCATATCTTGGAGCCTTGGCCAATTTACAGGCCCAGAAATGCTATGGGGCTAGTGCCGCATGGCTGAAGGGCTCCACACTTACCTGGCTCTTACTCACCTATGCGGCTATTCTCCAGT